ACTGCTGCCGTGGTAGTGCCTGGTTCCACATTCCACTCTGCTCCACTCCGAGCCCCGCCACCTCGGGGCGCCGTGGCGTTGCAGTGCTGAGCCCCCAGTGGCCGTGAGGCTGAGGCAGGGAACGGCAGTTCCGGGAGTCGCCGGGTGATGCACAGTGTACGTTACGCCGCCTAACGCTACTTTGGCAGGTACAACCCTCCACCTCCCGTAGTCGGTCGGCCAGCCTCCCACCGCCACCACCGCCGTGACGGCAGGGGACGGGTGACGTCATATAAGCAACCGGGTACGGCACCTTCAGGGATGTCATAAGGTGACGTAATGTGACTACATCATCAGCCGAAGTCGCCTGGAAGCGTTACCTCAGTGACCCCGTGTCCCCGCTGCCGCCCTGTGACGCCCGCTGCCGGAGGAGGCGCCTCGGGGGAGGTGGGTGACCAACACCGCTAACCGCGGGAAACTCCACCAGGCACACCCACTAACGCGGTCTGACCACTGTGTGAGCCTCGGGGCCCTGGTTCCTGGATGGCCCTTGACCCCTCCCGGTACCCGCGGCAGCGGCACCGATGCAGGGCGGAGAGCGGCTACCAGGGATACGGAGTTACAAAGCACACGGTCACAGCCAGTGTCACAATACCGTCACATGGGTGTGGTAACGTTGCCAGTTACCACCGTAGCCGCGATTTCTGCCATGCCACCCCCGCCACCTCGGGGCGCCGTGGCGTTGCAGTGCTGAGCCCCTAGTGGCCGTGAGGCTGAGGCAGGGAACGGCAGTTCCGGGAGTCGCCGGGTGATGCACAGTGTACGTTACGCCGCCTAACGCTACTTTGGCAGGTACAACCCTCCACCTCCCGTAGTCGGTCGGCCAGCCTCCCACCGCCACCACCGCCTGTGACGGCAGGGGACGGGTGACGTCATTTGAGCAACCGGGTACGGCGCCTTCAGGACAGTCATAAGGTGGCGTAACATGACCATGTTGTCAGCCGAAGTCGCCTGGAAGCGTGATCTCAGTGACCCCGTCTCCCAGCTGCCACCCTGTGACGGCCGCTGCCGGAGGAGGCGCCTCGGGGGAGGTAGGCGTCCGTCACCCATTACCGCGGGAAACGTACCCAGGCACACCCACTAACGCGGTCTGACCACTGTGTGAGCCTCGGGGCTTCGGTACCCGGAAGGCCCTTGACCCTCCGGGACCCGCGGCAGCGGCACCGATGCAGGGGAGGAGACGGCTACCAGGGATACGGAGTTACAAAGCACACGGTCACAGCCAGTGTCACAACACCGTCCTACGGGTGTGGTAACGTTGCCAGTTACCACCGTAGCCGCGATTTCTGCCATGCCACCCCGCCACCTCGGGGCGCCGTGGCTGCTGCCGGCGGGAGGGGTGATGGGCAGACTACAATCAGCAGACGATGTAGCATCACAGTTTCGGCAGATGCCGTCAGAGGATGTGCCAGACGCAACTGCTGCCGTGGTAGTGCCTGGTTCCACATTCCACTCTGCTCCACTCCGAGCCCCGCCACCTCGGGGCGCCGTGGCGTTGCAGTGCTGAGCCCCCAGTGGCCGTGAGGCTGAGGCAGGGAACGGCAGTTCCGGGAGTCGCCGGGTGATGCACAGTGTACGTTACGCCGCCTAACGCTACTTTGGCAGGTACAACCCTCCACCTCCCGTAGTCGGTCGGCCAGCCTCCCACCGCCACCACCGCCGTGACGGCAGGGGACGGGTGACGCCATATGAGCAACCGGGTACGGGACCTTCAGGAATGTCATCAGACGACGTAACATGACCATGTTGTCAGCCGAAGTCGCCTGGAAGCGTTACCTCAGTGACCCCGTCTCCCCGCTGCCGCCCTGTGACGCCCGCTGCCGGAGGAGGCGCCTCGGGGGAGGTGGGTGACCAACACCGCTAACCGCGGGAAACTCCACCAGGCACACCCACTAACGCGGTCTGACCACTGTGTGAGCTTCGGGGCCCTGGTACCCGGACGGCCCCTGACCCCTTCCGGGACCCGCGGCAGCGGCACCGATGCAGGGCGGAGAGCGGCTACCAGGGATACGGAGTTACAAAGCACACGGTCACAGCCAGTGTCACAATACCGTCACATGGGTGTGGTAACGTTGCCAGTTACCACCGTAGCCGCGATTTCTGCCATGCCACCCCCGCCACCTCGGGGCGCCGTGGCGTTGCAGTGCTGAGCCCCTAGTGGCCGTGAGGCTGAGGCAGGGAACGGCAGTTCCGGGAGTCGCCGGGTGATGCACAGTGTACGTTACGCCGCCTAACGCTACTTTGGCAGGTACAACCCTCCACCTCCCGTAGTCGGTCGGCCAGCCTCCCACCGCCACCACCGCCGTGACGGCAGGGGACGGGTGACGCCATATGAGCAACCGGGTACGGGACCTTCAGGAATGTCATCAGACGACGTAACATGACCATGTTGTCAGCCGAAGTCGCCTGGAAGCGTTACCTCAGTGACCCCGTCTCCCCGCTGCCGCCCTGTGACGCCCGCTGCCGGAGGAGGCGCCTCGGGGGAGGTGGGTGACCAACACCGCTAACCGCGGGAAACGTACCCAGGCACACCCACCAACGTGGTCTGGATACTGTATGAGCCTCGGGGCCCAGGTACCCGGACGGCCATCCCACCCTCCCGGGACCCGCGGCAGCGGCACGCCTGGTGGCTGGGAGACGGCTACCAGAGATACAGGGTTACGAAGCACACGGTCACAGCCAGTGTCACAATACCGTCATACGGGCGTGGTAACGTTGCCAGTTACCACCGTAGCCGCGATTTCTGCCATGCCACCCCCGCCACCTCGGGGCGCCGTGGCTGCTGCCGGCGGGAGGGGTGATGGGAGGGTGACGATCTGCAGGTGACGTAGCATCACGGTTTCGGCAGGTGCAGGCAGATGACGTGCCAGACGCAACTGCTGCCTGGGTACGCCCTGGTTCCACATTTTACTCTAGGGCTGTACTAGCCCCGCCACCACCGCTACTGCGACGGCAGGGGACGGGTGACGTCATTTGAGCAACCGGGTACGGCGCCTTCAGGACAGTCATAAGGTGACGTAACGTGACCATGTTGTCAGCCGAAGTCGCCTGGAAGCGTGATGACAGTTACCCCGTCTCCCCGCTGCCGCCCTGTGACGCCCGCTGCCGGAGGAGGCGCCTCGGGGGAGGTGGGTGACCAACACCGCTAACCGCAGGAAACGTACCCAGGCACACCCACTAACGCGGTCTGACCACTGTGTGAGCTTCGGGGCCCTGGTACCCGGACGGCCCCTGACCCCTTCCGGGACCCGCGGCAGCGGCACGGCTGGTGGCTGGGAGACGGCTACCAGGGATACGGAGTTACGAAGCACACGGTCAAAGCCAGTGTCACAACACCGTCATACGGGTGTAGTAACGTTGGTGGTTCCCACCCTAGCCGCGATTTCGGTGACTCCACCCCGCCACCTCGGGGCGCCCGTGGCTGCTGCCGGCGGGAGGGGTGCTGGGAGGGCTACAATCTGCAGGTGACGTAGCATCACAGTATCGGCAGGTGCAGGCAGATGACGTGCCAGACGCAACTGCTGCCTGGGTACGCCCTGGTTATACATTCCACTCTGCTTCACTCCGAGCACTGCCACCACCGCCGCGGCAGCCCGGCAACCGAGCCTCCAGTAACCGTGAGGCTGAGGCAGGGAACGGCAGTTCCGGGAGTCGGCGGGTCATCTACAGTGTACGTTACGGTATCTGAGCCAACTTTAGCGGGTACAAGCCCCCACCTCCCAGAGTCAGTCGGCCAGCCTCCCACCGCCGCCACCGCCGTGACCGCAGGGGACGGCTGACGTCATATGAGCAACCGGGTACGGCGCCTTCAGGACAGTCATAAGGTGACGTAACGTGACCATGTTGTCAGCCGAAGTCGCCTGGAAGCGTGATCTCAGTGACCCCGTCTCCCCGCTGCCGCCCTGTGACGCCCGTCGCTGGAGGAGGCGCCTCGGGGGAGGTAGGCGACCACCACCGCTAACCGCGGGAAATGTACCCAGGCACACCTACTGATATGGTCTGGCTACTGTACGAGCCTCGGGGACCAGGTACCCGGACGGCCATCCCACCCTCCCGGGACCCGCGGCAGCGGCACCGATGCAGGGCGGAGAGCGGCTACCAGAGATACGGAGTTACAAAGCACACGGTCACTGCCAGTGTCACAATACCGTCATATGGGTGTGGTAACGTTGCCAGTTACCACCGTAGCCGCGATTTCTGCCATGCCACCCCCGCCACCTCGGGGCGCCGTGGCTGCTGCCGGCGGGAGGGGTGATGGGCAGACTACAATCAGCAGACGATGTAGCATCACAGTTTCGGCAGATGCCGTCAGAGGATGTGCCAGACGCAACTGCTGCCGTGGTAGTGCCTGGTTCCACATTCCACTCTGCTCCACTCCGAGCCCCGCCACCAGCGCCGTGGCGTTGCAGTGCTGAGCCCCCAGTGGCCGTGAGGCTGAGGCAGGGAACGGCAGTTCCGGGAGTCGCCGGGTGATGCACAGTGTACGTTACGCCGCCTAACGCTACTTTGGCAGGTACAACCCTCCACCTCCCGTAGTCGGTCGGCCAGCCTCCCACCGCCACCACCGCCGTGACGGCAGGGGACGGGTGACGCCATATGAGCAACCGGGTACGGGACCTTCAGGAATGTCATCAGACGACGTAACGTGACTACATCATCAGCCGAAGTCGCCTGGAAGCGTGATCTCAGTGACCCCGTCTCCCCGCTGCCGCCCTGTGACGCCCGCTGCCGGAGGAGGCGCCTCGGGGGAGGTGGGTGACCAACACCGCTAACCGCAGGAAACGTACCCAGGCACACCCACTAACCTGGCCTAGCTAGTGTATGGGCCTCGGGGCCCTGGTACCCGGACGGCCATCCCACCCTCCCGGGACCCGCGGCAGCGGCACCGATGCAGGGCGGAGAGCGGCTACCAGGGATACGGAGTTACAAAGCACACGGTCACAGCCAGTGTCACAATACCGTCACATGGGTGTGGTAACGTTGCCAGTTACCACCGTAGCCGCGATTTCTGCCATGCCACCCCGCCACCTCGGGGCGCCCGTGGCTGCTGCCTGTGGGAGGGGTGCTGGGCAGACTACAATCAGCAGACGATGTAGCATCACAGTTTCGGCAGATGCCGTCAGAGGATGTGCCAGACGCAACTGCTGCCGTGGTAGTGCCTGGTTCCACATTCCACTCTGCTCCACTCCGAGCCCCGCCACCTCGGGGCGCCGTGGCGTTGCAGTGCTGAGCCCCCAGTGGCCGTGAGGCTGAGGCAGGGAACGGCAGTTCCGGGAGTCGCCGGGTGATGCACAGTGTACGTTACGCCGCCTAACGCTACTTTGGCAGGTACAACCCTCCACCTCCCGTAGTCGGTCGGCCAGCCTCCCACCGCCACCACCGCCGTGACGGCAGGGGACGGGTGACGCCATATGAGCAACCGGGTACGGGACCTTCAGGAATGTCATCAGACGACGTAACATGACCATGTTGTCAGCCGAAGTCGCCTGGAAGCGTTACCTCAGTGACCCCGTCTCCCCGCTGCCGCCCTGTGACGCCCGCTGCCGGAGGAGGCGCCTCGGGGGAGGTGGGTGACCAACACCGCTAACCGCGGGAAACTCCACCAGGCACACCCACTAACGCGGTCTGACCACTGTGTGAGCTTCGGGGCCCTGGTACCCGGACGGCCCCTGACCCCTTCCGGGACCCGCGGCAGCGGCACCGATGCAGGGCGGAGAGCGGCTACCAGGGATACGGAGTTACAAAGCACACGGTCACAGCCAGTGTCACAATACCGTCACATGGGTGTGGTAACGTTGCCAGTTACCACCGTAGCCGCGATTTCTGCCATGCCACCCCCGCCACCTCGGGGCGCCGTGGCGTTGCAGTGCTGAGCCCCTAGTGGCCGTGAGGCTGAGGCAGGGAACGGCAGTTCCGGGAGTCGCCGGGTGATGCACAGTGTACGTTACGCCGCCTAACGCTACTTTGGCAGGTACAACCCTCCACCTCCCGTAGTCGGTCGGCCAGCCTCCCACCGCCACCACCGCCGTGACGGCAGGGGACGGGTGACGTCATTTGAGCAACCGGGTACGGCGCCTTCAGGACAGTCATAAGGTGACGTAACGTGACCATGTTGTCAGCCGAAGTCGCCTGGAAGCGTGATGACAGTTACCCCGTCTCCCCGCTGCCGCCCTGTGACGCCCGCTGCCGGAGGAGGCGCCTCGGGGGAGGTGGGTGACCAACACCGCTAACCGCAGGAAACGTACCCAGGCACACCCACTAACGCGGTCTGACCACTGTGTGAGCTTCGGGGCCCTGGTACCCGGACGGCCCCTGACCCCTTCCGGGACCCGCGGCAGCGGCACGGCTGGTGGCTGGGAGACGGCTACCAGGGATACGGAGTTACGAAGCACACGGTCAAAGCCAGTGTCACAACACCGTCATACGGGTGTAGTAACGTTGGTGGTTCCCACCCTAGCCGCGATTTCGGTGACCCCACCTCGGGGCGCCCGTGGCTGCTGCCTGTGGGAGGGGTGCTGGGAGGGCTACAATCTGCAGGTGACGTAGCATCACAGTATCGGCAGGTGCAGGCAGATGACGTGCCAGACGCAACTGCTGCCTGGGTACGCCCTGGTTCCACATTCCACTCTGCTTCACTCCGAGCACTGCCACCACCGCCGCGGCAGCCGGCAACCTGCCTCCAGTGGCCGTGAGGCTGAGGCAGGGAACGGCAGTTCCGGGAGTCGCCGGGTGATGCACAGTGTACGTTACGGTATCTAACGCTACTTTGGCAGGTACAACCCTCCACCTCCCGTAGTCGGTCGGCCAGCCTCCCACCGCCACCACCGCCGTGACCGCAGGGGACGGGTGACGCCATATGAGCAACCGGGTACGGCGCCTTCAGGAAGTCATAAGGTGACGTAACGTGACCATGTTGTCAAGTCGCCTGGAAGCGTGATCTCAGTGACCCCGTCTCCCCGCTGCCGCCCTGTGACGCCCGTCGCTGGAGGCGCCTCGGGGGAGGTAGGTGACCAACACCGCTAACCGCGGAAACGTACCCAGGCACACCTACTGATATGGTCTGGCTACTGTGTGAGCCTCGGGGCCGGGTACCCGGACGGCCATCCCTCCCGGGACCCGCGGCAGCGGCACCGATGCAGGGCGGAGAGCGGCTACCAGAGATACGGAGTTACAAAGCACACGGTCACAGCCAGTGTCACAATACCGTCACATGGGTGTGGTAACGTTGCCAGTTACCACCGTAGCCGCGATTTCTGCCATGCCACCCCCGCCACCTCGGGGCGCCGTGGCTGCTGCCGGCGGGAGGGGTGATGGGCAGACTACAATCAGCAGACGATGTAGCATCACAGTTTCGGCAGATGCCGTCAGAGGATGTGCCAGACGCAACTGCTGCCGTGGTAGTGCCTGGTTCCACATTCCACTCTGCTCCACTCCGAGCCCCGCCACCAGCGCCGTGGCGTTGCAGTGCTGAGCCCCAGTGGCCGTGAGGCTGAGGCAGGGAACGGCAGTTCCGGGAGTCGCCGGGTGATGCACAGTGTACGTTACGCCGCCTAACGCTACTTTGGCAGGTACAACCCTCCACCTCCCGTAGTCGGTCGGCCAGCCTCCCACCGCCACCACCGCCGTGACGGCAGGGGACGGGTGACGCCATATGAGCAACCGGGTACGGGACCTTCAGGAATGTCATCAGACGACGTAACATGACCATGTTGTCAGCCGAAGTCGCCTGGAAGCGTTACCTCAGTGACCCCGTGTCCCCCCTGCCGCCCTGTGACGCCCGCCGCTGGAGGAGGCGCCTCGGGGGACCTAGACTACCAACACCGCTAACCGCGGGAAACGTACCCAGGCACACCCACCAACGTGGTCTGGATACTGTATGAGCCTCGGGGCCCAGGTACCCGGACGGCCATCCCACCCTCCCGGGACCCGCGGCAGCGGCACGCCTGGTGGCTGGGAGACGGCTACCAGAGATACAGGGTTACGAAGCACACGGTCACGGCCAGTGTCACAACACCGTCACATGGGTGTGGTAACGTTGCCAGTTCCCACCGTAGCCGCGATTTCGGTGACTCCACCCCGCCACCTCGGGGCGCCGTGGCTGCTGCCTGTTGGAGGGGTGATGGGAGGGTGACGATCTGCGGAAGATGTGGCATCACAGTATTGGCAGATGGCATCAGAGCATGTGCCAGACGCAACTGCTGCCTGGGTACGCCCTGGTTATACATTCCACTCTGCTTCACTCCGAGCACTGCCACCACCGCCGCGGCAGCCCGGCAACCGAGCTCCCAGTGGCCTTGAGGCTGAGGCAGGGAACGGCAGCAGGTCACGGTTTGTTATAAGTCTATATATTATTGTTTGTTCTTAGATTTATAAAATAAGGCGAGATTTTGCTTCAAGCCCGCAACTTCATTTGGTGCACTACTTGGTTTTGTGTCCCTAGAAAGTGCTTGCCTAACATATGCAGGCAACCATCTCTGAGTTTTCGCGCTTTTGTATCTGGCATCTAACAACACGATGGCGGCGTAGTCCCCTTTATGCCTCATCGCCCTGCCTATGCTTTGGTTGACGGTTTTGAAGCACATGATGGTCTTCATATCGTCTGCCAACCTGGCATAAACGTCTCGCTGAGATCGCGACAGGCTCTCCTGCTTCGCTGATGCAATGTTAAGATGTATATGGGTGACGTACCCTTGGCCCTGAAGTACTCTCTCTTCAGCTGCAGCTTGATCCCCTCGGGTGGGTACGGCTGACCCACTAATATGACCAAGCGTGCGAGCCCATCAGCGAAGTCCACGCCCTCGCTCTGCGATCCACCATACACTGCGAACAGTACCGCTCCTCTACCAAGAGCCTGCTTGGAGTAATCCGCGATGACAGAGCCGCCCTTGTCTGTACCACTTTGCCAGCGCGCATCCGTCAACGCACCTTGCGATTCGAAGAACACTGCCTTGTGTTGGAGGACCCTGGCTCTCTCTGGCGAGCTTTCAAACGCGACCTGAAAATTCTTCAGGAACCCGTAGCTCGACACAAAGCAGAGGATCCCATTTGGTGTGACCGATGCAGCGGCTTCGACGACCCTGCACAGCGCCGACAACTCGCGCCCGCCCTCCCTTGAGCTGCTGTCATACACCAACTCCAGACCCTGCTCATCTGGAAACTGTGAAATCGAGACGTTGCAACGCACCGCTGCCAACGACGGTGGCGTAGAATTGGTCCAGCGGGAAAACTGGCGGACTGAGGTGCACGATTGGCTCGGCACTTGATGGCGACAGCGTGATGAATTCCTCCATGGGAGACAGTGTGCCGCTCATTAGCAGCACGCTCTTCGCCTCTTGCGTGAGTCGCTGGAATTGAATGTCTGAGGACGTCGTAAAGAAAATATGGGAGCCTACCTGCAGCCAGATTGAAGATCTCGATGGTCTCGTCGCCCGCCTCCGAAGTAACTAGAACGCGATCGTGCTCGCTCGCCGACAGCAAAGTTGTAACGAAGTGCCGGAAATCGTATACGGCATAAAGATGTGGGTTGCGATTCGAGTGATCGGTAGATGCAACAACTCCTTTGCATTTGGACGCCCACAGCCGCTCGGCCAATGCCCTTAGACGCCTGCAGAAATCGCCCGAGACCATAAACGAGACAATCTCGTGAAACTTGGTATCGTCGAGTCCCATCTCAATCATGAAGCCGGGTATGGAGAACACGCGAGGGGAACCGGTAGCGGCGCTCAGTGCCTTCCCACATTTAGAGAGGATGCCGGCGACCCTTTCAATACTTGCGATAGTTTCATCACCACCGTTAATTTCACCCCTGTATTTGTCCCTAAACGACCTGCATTGCTGGGCGAGTGCCGCCATTGCCTTGGGGTGTATTACGCTCGATTGAGCCTCGGTTACCGCACCGACCAGGTTGTGTGCCTCGTCAACGATAAGTACATTTCCATCGGTCGCGATGCCCGTGTGCTGCCGAATGGATGGGTTGAATACGGACACGTATGGCGCGAGGATGATGTCACACTCGGCCATGCTTTGCGCGGAGGCATAGTAGGGGCACGCGCACAGCCCAGTTCCGACCGCCCGGAGGTCTTCCAGGTCCATTGGGAAGCACATGGAAGCCTCAACCAGTGGCGACACATCTTGGCGGTACTCACAGGTGACCTGCCGGCATCGCTCGTTGAACTCCTCGTTCGTGTGGCACTTAGCCCGCACGGAGGGGCTGACGCATGTGTGGTTACGCCCCGCCGCTATGCCAATCTTAACGTGCTCACCCAGCGCTCCCAACCTTCGGAACTCTTTCACATACTGATTTAGCTGCGAAAACGTCCTGCTGCAGATGACGATTTGGATCTTCCTCCTGGCCGGTCTCGCATCAGAGATTGAGCGGTTGCTCGAGGTGGCATCCTGCGCCAAAGGATAAAGCACGCCCAGTCAAAGATTATCACATAGAACTGTAATACGGGCACACACACCAGTCTGGTACATATGCCTTGACCGTTGTTGTCAATGCGCATCACCTACCTGATCCCGTCCGCGTTTGGCACCGGGCCTGAGCCGCACCCCTTCGTCCGTTATGATGAAGTCGCTCCTCAACAGCTGCCGAGTAGCAGTCAGGTGACTAATCTCAGTTGTGATGGCCTCCTCCGCAATTGATCGGAGTTGCGCTTCCATGCTCCGCCGTACCCATGCAGGCACGCCATCGTCTGCCAACGTCTGGATGCCGCTCAGCCGAAACCAACCGTGCTCCGCTTTGAGTTCCAACCTAGAGATGGCGTCATTCACCCGGTTATCCCTGAGCCTAGAGAAGATACATTTGTTCGGAGGTAGCATTCTTACCAGGTGAGAACGCTACACAGGATTGCGATGGTCTTCCCCGATCCGGTCGGGGACTCAAAGAGCCCGAAGCGGGATTCCTCGAAGCACGTATACGCATCTTGCATGAACTTCTTCTGCGACTGTACGTCATCGTGCTCAGCTACCTCTACGGTCACCTACGGGATACGCCTCGAATGGCAGCTTGAACTCCGGTTCCGGGCTGGCAGTCATGTTACGTTTGCCCGCAACTTTGCGGCGCCTGGTGTAGAGTTAGGCTCAAGCATCATCCAGCTTGCTCATCGTAGCAACGCCCATGATGTGCGTGGAATCTTTCTCGCCCAACCGAGCAGCGGGTGATGTGTAAGGGCAACCCAGACGCAAGTGACCGCCTTGGCTCCCCCATCTCCGCAGCATGTAACGACTGTGTTCAAATATTTAACGTGCAAAGTTGCGTTGCGTCAACGGCCCAGCGAAAGCCGCTTTGCCTGGTTCCGGAATCCGCGGAAGACACGCGGCGACGTGGCCTGCGCAACCTTGCCTAATGTGGCATAGAAGTCGCAGCCTGTATGCTTGGACGCCAGCTGTGAAATAATAGCACGCCATCGTGTCAGATTTGCTCCCACGCTGAGGGTAAATCTGCGCACTGTGCATTCTTGGCCGCGGGAGCGGAAGCCGTGTCTTCCGTAGCATACTGCCACACTCACCGGGTGCTATGGTATATTGTGTACGATGAGGAATACAGCGCCGCCTGTGAGGCAACCGCCTGCTCCGAGCTACAACATGCTCTTCGCGTTCTTCAAGCAGCAGGGTAGGTCAGCGGTACAATGTCGATTGAGGACATCCCGGTGCGCTTCTGCAAATCATCCACCCCAGTGGTTGTACATCGCCGTATTTGACGCTGGAGATGCTTAATTTATGGTGGATGTTACGCATATACGTCACCTTGTCCCGTTCAATCATCGATCCGTGTTCGCAACCTTGCTCATGAGTGAATAGGCTACAACGACGAATTGGCTGCGTCGGAGGCGAGAAGGATGATGATTAGGCCACCCCCGCCTCCCGCCGGACCGAAGATGCCGCCCCCAATGCCGGGGCCAGTGGTCACGTACAATCGAGCAAGCCTGCTGAGCGGCGTGAAGCTAACTCCGAAGAATGCGTGGCGGATACCTTTGTCGACGACTCCCGTGTCCACCCGTAAATCTGCCGCGAGGAACGTCATACCCATCACCCTGAAGGTGTCTAGGAGCAACGAAGGTGGGATTGCTATGGTTTTAAGTCATCTGCTTCAGAGCCCAAGGCGCGCCCTGGGCCCTGGCCATCGGAGCCTGTACATGGAAGCACGGCGCCTACGGGTGTAACGAGCAGAGTCCCGCCTCAGTTTGGCAGCGACATCGCCATTGATGTAGCCCCGGAGACGGGTGTATCGCAGCCTAAAAAGCCATACGGCCCCGACGTTCCCACGATGGACGATATCAACAACTGGATCCAGCGCATGTACTCCCACCACGCCATGGTAGTTTGATGTCCTTAGTCAGTCACGGCGTACCAGGGCGCGTGCTCGAAAGGGTTCCGAGCCAAGATCAGCGAGTTCGTGGAACGCGTTGTGCAGCGCCACAGGTGGGCATATGCGCTCCGTCATACATCCGACGCAGAAACGGATCGCTGACGACGAAGGATCTGGTCATCCCTAGCCCTTATGAGATAATGGGCACTGTCGAGCCGGTGTCGCGGGCAGCTCCAAATAGCGCCCCCAATGCTGCATCTGTGGCGCCACCCAAGCCGCCTCCGACGCGGGTGAGCAACGTGGCAGTTACGTCTCGCAGGCCGCTTCCTGCACCCCGTGCCAACGCCAAATCGCAAGCGCCGTCATTGGACGGCGAAGCCTTCGAGCTGCGTAAGAGGCAGCAGCGGTCGGAAAGGTTCAAGAGTCCGCCAGGAGGGGAGGGGGTAGGTTGCGTTGTGTTCTGCGTGTATGGTGTGCCAGGTCTACAACTTCAGGCCGCAGAAGGGCAGCGCTGTAGTGGGTGTCTGTGAGACCCTGGAGAAGCCTTATTTGCGTCTGACTGCGGAGCCCAACCCGGCGGTGGTGAGGCCGGAGCGCGTGCTGCGGAAGGCCTTCAGACACGTGTTCGACACGTTCATGCGCAGCTTCAACTACCGATACATCGAGGAGCAGTTTCGGTCGATTCGCCAGGACGTGCAGGTGCAGCACCTCAGCGGCCCATTCGTGGTGAAGCTGTATGCGACCAACGCCCGTATCGCCTTGGTGCACGGCGACTTGGACCAGTTCAACCAGTGCCAGACGCAGTTGAGGCACCTCCACCGACGAGTGGACGGTTTTCCCCAGTATCAGGTTGGTTCCTTAGTCAGGGTAATCCAAGGGCGATGCCAGATGGAGTTCGACTGCTACTTCCTGCTGTACCTCTCGATGCAGAACATGCACATGGACGTCCTGCGATACTTGCGTAGGTGCTAGCCGGGTTAACGCTGATGTGTGCAGGTGACGCCTTGGATTCCGATTTCCGGGCTAGTGCGTATTTCCGTTACGCCGACGCGATCAGGACCTTCCTGTCCGAGGGCAACTTTGTGGAGTACTTCAGAGTTGCCGACACCAGCGGCATCGACAAGGACGCCTGCATTCGCGCAATCTACGCTGAGGCCTTTGCCACGGAGGACTTCACCGAGGGCCCGTCAGCCGCCTCCATGGACCATTCGGCCACGGTGGGCCCGATCACAACGCCGCCATTTTACGCGAAATTGCTGTTCAAGATGTTCGAGCCGCGCTTCCGCATGAACGCGCTGGTTGCGATGGCGAGCACTGCAATGTCGCTGTCCGTGGACACCGTCATGGAGACGTTACGCTTTGGGTCGGCGGAGGACTGCATCGCTTTCATAAGGTAGGGCGCACATTGTGGTGGTCATGCGTGTCAGGGAGAACGGAGGCACGATGAACCAGGCGGGGCTGGTGGACTGCAGGGGGTCGCTGGAGGGGTTCCTGTCCTCCCCGCTACTGCGCAACAAAAAGCTATAATTCATTCACCCGTGTTTCTGCGAATTCCCGTCAGGCCCCGCAGCCCAATGGGAGTGGTTGCGTATACGGGGTGGACCTGCGTCAGCCCAAAGCGCTCGTGGTCAATCAGGGCTAGTGCGGCGAGGGCGAAGAAGGTGTGGAATACGTCCCCCATGAACCCGGGTAGGTAGGCGATGCCGCCGTCGTCGTGGTTTTGCGCCCGGGTTACAAAGTCGACAAGCTTCTCCGAGTCGAACCACTCAAATCGGCCTGCAAGGATTTACGGCGGCGCCAATCGGCCTACCTATGTTGTGGAGTGCGGAGAGCACCCACCAGGAGTAGCATATATCGGGCGCCTTCTCCGCCCGTCCGTTGCAACCGCCACCTGTAACAATAGATTAGTGCCTACGCGTGTTCTCACGACCCATATTCCACGCATTCATAACCAACGGTAGGCGGCGATGACCCAGTTGCGTTGTCTTATGACGGCCCATCATGTGCCGTGACAGCCTTAGTAGTCATCACGGCGAACACGAATTCGCAACATGTATCACACGATCCGACAACCGCGTGCATAAATTACAAAATACGGGGATCTACACCCGGGACCTCAACGCACCTGCAGTCTGCCGTTCCGCGAGCCAAACGCCCAGTGCGTCCAAGTCTACCAGGTGCAGCGCTCCCAACTCAGATAACGCGCCGACACAACAGAACGCGGCAGCGGCGTGCGATTCACCCCTCGGATACCAGCCAAATCCGCCGTCCTCATTTTGGCAGCTCAACAGGAACCGCACGACCCCGCCCACATCGACACTGTCTAGGGCGCCTAGCAGAGACAGGCAGATCACCGAGCTGTAGACGTGCCTACAAAGCTATATCAGTCCTCCCGTGTATCGACCAACCTGGCGTCAGCCTCCCCAAAGTGGTCGCAGTTGAAGCTCCCATCCGCGTTCTGCGCGCTAGTTTAAGCTGTGGTACAGGCTAATCACCACGCAAAACACGTTATCAACAGACACTAGCTACCAGGAGGAGTTCGAATAGCCACCAAACGGTGGCATTGAATGACCCAACCGTGTGGCATGCAGCAGCGTTCGTGGCCGTACCTGCAGTCCCGAGATGTACTTCGCCGTGCGCTCCTTGTCGATGGTATCCTGCCTCCCAAGCAGGCTCAGAGTGAGGATGGCATACTGCGTGGCGTCAAGCGATCGATGTTGCGAACGCCTACATGGGTTGCGATGACAGAGGAAGGGTGGCCAGGAGCGTTACCGAAGCCGCCGTCCGCGTTCCCGGAGCCCTCGACGATATCGGAGGTTATAGCTTCCAGGTCTCGGCTGAGTTTGGGGTGCACAATGTCGTTCACTGCGCCCTTCAGGAGCGAAATGGCCGTCAACGTCCAATAGACACCCCCGAGCTTGATGGGCTCGTAGGCGAATCCCTCGATGGACAGCCTGTCGTTGAGGTTGCTCAACAGGAAATTGTAGACGCGGTCATTATCTATGTGCGAGTCCGACGGCATTTTGCGCTGCGTTGAAGCGTCCTCCCGCACATTGATGGGTGTGTGGAGCGTGTAGAGCATAGCTCTCCCTGTCACCCAAAGTCGGTTATAACATTCGTAGAAGGTTCGCAGAATGGCAAGTCCATGTCTCGTGATAGAGCAGCTGCTCGCCGATTGCAAATGTGTACGTCGTTTTTGATGGCTTTACAAGCAGCAGGTCACCGTCGCCGTGGTCACTCATTCGCTAGGCGTCGACTTTGGCAGCGCCCAGCGGTACGTTGGCGAGTATGTGGGCTCATTTAGTGCGGTAGGGCAGTGATAGAGTTCGCCAGCGGCAAGGAAGGTGTCGGATTGCTGTACTCCGTATGCTACTCGGACGAGGGCGGCAACGCGGTTTTATCGCACAAGACGGAGGCTGATTTGGAAGGTTGGTTGCTTAGGCACAACTGTGTCGCTTTTCCGTGTCACTGTAGATAGTTATCTTGTGCTGAAACCTCCCATCGGCCACCATGCGCTGCGAATTCGTCAACGCAAGCATGTTGAGCCTGGGTGACCAGACCGGTTGCTTAGCCGGGTACCCGTAGTTCATTTCAACAGCTGGTACAGGCTGTATGCATATATGTAGGCGCTACATTGTGATGTAAATGGTTCTAACTGGCACAATATTACTCCACGTGATACGTGGTTTTCAGTTGATTCCATTTGTCGCAGAGCTTCGGGGAAGGTACGGAGATGTAAGGACGGCTGTGTTCGCGGTGTACGCTGGGGCTTTAAATGGTGGATCTGCAGTGAGCCAGCTGTGTTGGAAGCACGAGTCGGAGTTGGTGGAGGGCGAGTTGAAGCGCTGCTCGGAGAAGGAGGCCCTATACATTCCGAGGTATGGCGGCGGTTGCCGGTTGTTGACATCTTCGTCAGTTACGTCCAATTGCCGACGCCTAACATCAGGGTGCGCAAATACGAGCGGGGCAAGCAGGGGTAGGTCTACTCACCGTTCGATGACGTCCTTCAGCGACAGCGCCTTGTGCGCGCCTATTCCGAAACCTTCAGCGGCGGCTGGCGGTGCGAGGGCTCCGGCTGCCACCTCCGCTGCACGCACAACTTCGGAAAGCAAAACGAGTCAACCAAAGCTGTTTGGGTTGCACGGTTATGAGCACGTCAAAAACGAGGGTACCCATAAGAAGCCCAAGGTGGAGGCACCCCCTCCGGCCGCCGCGCCGAGCCGCAGGCCAGCGGAAGCGCAAGAGAAGGCAACAGCTACTAGGGCGACTCAGCCGGCACAACCTAGAGGAGAGAGTGCAGCTACTTCAGCGCCAAGTGGCGGTGTCGGGAGCACGCAGAGAGACTTCAAGTCGTTCGTGTCCCAGAAGTTGGCGCAGCCCAGCAGCAGTGCGGAGGCACCCTCATCCCAGGCTGCACCGGCGGCGATATCGCAGAACGACGCTATGGACACTTCTCTGTTTGCGTGTGGTAGGTCGGTGTGCGTCCCCACCAAATGCCCTCAGACGACCCTTGCGACGCCATGGAGCTGGACGACGCAAGCTGCAACGACCGCCCCGTGAGCTACGTGGAAAAGGTGTGTTGCCTAGTCGCATCGCCGCCATAGGGTGACAGGTGACGCGCGAGAACACGTACGTGGACAGCGGCTACTTCGTGGTGGAGGAGAACGACGAGTACGTGCAGGTGAACTCGCCTGCCAGAAGCCTCAAGGCGGCTCCGCCGAAACACGGCCGGAAGGAAAGCAGCGCAGATGACGGCAGAAAGGGGCTGCTGAAGAAGCCCCAGAAGCAGCTCAAGCAGATGACGTTGACGTACGTTCGTTGTTGTGTACGGCATGACTCTCTCGTAGGTCCTTCTTCAAAAAATGAGGTCCCAGGCGCCAGTTCTACTGTTGGGTGTTTAACGGCCATAGAGGAGTTAGAGCGTGTCGAATTACAGCGGAATCGTGTCGCCAGGTTGACTTTTGCGTCCATTCGGCCGGCCCAGGGAGCAGGAAGGCGGCTCTCACCGCCCGCGAGTGAGATAGACACTCACGTAAGCGCGCAACAAGCCCGCATAAAAACTATATACACTACATTGTGCCTATATCGCCGGGATGTGTTGCGCTGGGTGTCGGCGTAGGGGTGTCTGACGAGTCGTATATGTGCGGCTTTCCTGGTTGCTCAATGGCATGATTTCATGAGATTCCTTAGCATCTCGCTGATAGTTGTAGCTCACTGCGTGGTGTACGGGTTCCGGCAGCCGTGCCGCGAAAGCTGCTGGACACTGAGTGGAAGGTCGGCTTCGTGCCGGCAGCCTGCGGTACGACAAGCCAACTTCCGACTCGCCGGAGAAGGGGAAGCTGCTGCGCAGGGGTCGTCTGGCAGCGTCCATCTTCCACTCGAGCCTGTGGTTGCGATAGTTGGGCGCCCAAACGTCGGCAAATCCTCCATCTTCAATCGCATCTCTAAGCAGGTGAGGCGTCATGCCATCTGCCTTGCTCGCAAAATCGCGCAGTTCCACCGCGGCAGCATCGTGTCAGAATCGCCAGGCACCACGAGGTTGTTGGAAGCGGCAACGCGATAACTCCGTCTCAGGGATCGCCAGTATGCGCTTGCAGATTGGGAGGGGCGCACCTTCCGGCTGATAGACACCGGCGGGCTGGAGGACGAGAGTGAGTACGCGGAATCGGTGAGTGCGACTGGAAAAGGGAATACATGCGTCTAGATCAGAGCTCAAGTGGGAAGTTCGCTGGAACATGCGTCGGTGGCCCTTGTGGTGGTGGACGGCCAGGCAGGACTCACCGATGGTGACCTGGAGGTGCGTGACTTCGTGCTGGACGCAGTCAAGAAACGGGGCGATCTGCGCGTGCTGCTGTGTGTAAATAAGTGCGAGTCGTTCCAATTCGGTGACGTCCTGGCTGAGGTATGTGGCGTGGTATAGGCCTCACGTTGCCCAGCAATTCTGGAGGCTGGGTCTGGGACGGCCGTATCCCGTGAGCGCGTTGCACGGCACTGGGTTCGCGGAGTTACTCAACGAGTAGGTGGTATCCTATAGACGCGAAGTTGGCTGCAGTTGCGTTACCGGATTCGGGCGTTGCGCGATAGAAGAGCGGCACGACGTGGTGGTATCGTTCGTCGGCAGGTAGGTCCTCACTCGCTGCCTTGGACGCGTGTCAGGCCGAACTGTGGCAAGTCGTCGCTGGTAAACCTGCTGGCTGGAAGCTCGCGGTGCCTGGTGTCGCCGAAGGAGGGCACCACGCTGGACACGGTGGAGGTGCCCATTGTGAGGGGTAAGTGGTGCATTAATGTCTTGTACGATTGCGCTGCGTGTATATTTTTTCTCCATGCCAGCAACTACTGCTGTCATGTGAATGATGGGAGTGACAACGTGGCGCTGTTGGCTGTAGTACATAGTATGCATTCGAATATGTAATCCACGTTCACCACTGCTTCTAGGTGAGCGGCGGTACCTATTGATCGACACTGCCGGGATGCGTCTACAGTCCAAGGATCGTCGGAGCTTCCTTCCCAAGGGTCGCAGTTTACGGGTGAGTTGCTTTGGCAGCCACGGCGCGTCGATTTGCGTCCGGTGACTCGTTCGCAGGCGATCCGCAAAAGCGACGTGTGCGTGCTGGTGGTGGACGCGAGTTGGGGCATATCCCGCAACGACGTGAAGCTGGCGGAGGAGATACGGGCGGAGAGCCGTGCGGCGGTCATCGTGTGCAACAAGTGGGACCTGGTGGACAAGGATCCCACGGTGTACAAGAACGCCGTTAATTATGTGAAGGAGAAGCTGCACTGGCTGGACTACGCCGACGTCGTGTTCACCTCCGCCAAGACCGCCCAGCGGGTCAGCAACGTCCTGGGGGCATGCCAAAATGCGCACGACCAGGTGAGCAGCACCGCGTTCAATATAGGCATCGGTGTCCCCGTCTTACCTTGTCACGGTTAAACTGATGCGCAGTTCTCCAAGAGCTTCACCACTGCCTTGCTTAACGAGGTTTTGCGCGAGGCGACCTTCCTCCAGAAGCCGCCGGTGACTCATGGGAAACGCTTGAGCATCTACTACGTCTGCCAGGTACCTACAACCACCATATGGCAGCCAACACTGTCGCCCAGGTTCACAGCCAGCCGCCGGGGATTGCGCTATTCTGCAACGACGAACGCCTGCTGACCGACGACTACGCCGAGTACCTCGAGGTCTTTTTCCGGCGATCACTCAACCTGACGGGCTCGCCGATTCGCTGGTACCCCAGGGCCAAGAGGGCAAGGCACAGCGTGCCGGACCTCCGGAACCGCGCTTCCAAATCCAGCTGCAACTCACGGGAGCTGCTGTCGCTGTGACGAATACCGGAAACGTATATAACATTAGGAATGCGATAGAGTTGCAAGTGCCATTGATTGGCGCAGATACGACACAAGCGACGCCCACGTTATAGTAGTAACATCATTAGGCTGCCGTGTAAGGATCCAGGTCGCCGTCCTTGAGGTCCACGCGCACCCGGAGTGAGCAGCTGGGACACTCCGACACGAGGTTGCCTGCGTGGGATTAGACTGTTGCTCGGCCTACTCACCGGCCTCGAGCTGCTCCAGCGTGAATTCGAACAGGTCGCCGCACGGGCACGCGTAGTAGAACACCCGCAGCGATTCGTCGTAGTGGCAGTCGTCCAGGCTGATGGTCTCGTAGATGAGCTCCTCGCGGAAGCCTGCGATGTTGCCCTCACGCGAGACTTCGAAAGTGCTACCGGCGCTGGAGGAGGTTGTGGTGCCCGTCCGCGTCTCCATTGTGGGCAATGGCGAGGAAGGCAGCGCACATGGAGCAGGGAGCGTTGTGCCGGGTACCCCGCGCCCCGACGGGATGTGAGGGACGTGCGAGCTGCTATTTGTTTAACCGTTACCATTTACCGATGGAAGGCTGACATGAGAGCCTTGCTTACGTTCAGTGTGTTGCTGCCGGCTCTATGTGTTAGCGCGACGCGGTACCACATCCCACCTGCGCCTTCCCTGTGCTTTGTGAAGCCGACTCCCGTCGTCAAACAGGGCGACTATTGCCGTGGGTGGCACTGCCGGAAGAAGGTTCAGACCAGGGCGTGCGGGAGTGCCTCGCCGTCTGCCGTCTTGTCACACGTAACAGTCCCGAAGCCCGCGGCGTGGGAGCGTGTGCTGCTGCAGACGTGGAAGGATCACGGCGCTGGCATTGTGCTGGGCGCTGTGTACGGGATTCGCATCTTCCGGTTCCTGCTCCACGTCCGCAACCTGCTGGAGTGGCTGCCGCAGGTGAACCCCTACCTCTTCCCGTTTGACACCGTGTACCAAGCGACCGACGCGTACCTCAAGCTCTTCCAGGCGGCGATTCCGGCCGTCTACGGGATGGACATCAGCGGCATAGTGGCGTTCTTCGTCCTGGACCACATAGAGTCGCTGCTCGCCCACAAGCCAGAAGTGGCGCAGCACGCGTTGCAATAAAACCACAGTTGCATCTGTTCGATGTTGAAGAACCATATAAGGCATCTTAATGTTGTACTTTAACCTAAGCAGTACCGCCAGTGCCGGCATGGGAGCTACCCACAGCTGGTTCACTTGAGTTACGCCATGCAGCCAGGTTTCGCGTTTAGTCGCCAAGGTTCTCAGCGGCCTGCAGCAGTGCCTTGTGGCCGGCGTCCGTCTTGGAGAAGTCGCTCACCACACGACGCGCAACCTGTATGTAGCTGGTGAGGGGCACGGACTGGCGGACTTACTGCTTCCAGCGTGGAGTTGAGGAACCCGAACGCAAGGATCCTGAAGTCAGTTGAACTGCTGCACTCGGACTGGCCGTTTGGCATCCCCCGTATAGTCTCCGTCTCGTGGTAGCTGCGCTTTTTATCAACATAACGGCCGGAGCTCACGTGTACGATTCCTTCATGGTCAACCCCGACGTTCTGTGCGACAGACAGCGAGCATCCAGGTCGACAACCGAGTCCTCCAGCACGAAGTATTCGATGCTCGGGCCCACGATGTAGTCTGAGGGCGTATGGGAATTGCAACGGAGGGTCATGCACTTGAGCCGGGGATGTAAACACCGGGTTTTGATCGTCACATCACGTGCCACAGATTAGCATTACACAATAAAATACATTACTTTCACGCTTCATATATCGGCCCGGGTAACGCATAGACAGCTTTCATGCGACTCATACTAGGTTGCGTGCATTATTCCACCATGCGACACTGTGCCCGGGAGCTTGATAAAGCGACATCAGTCGCCACCAATACAGAGGAACAGACACATCGCATCAACTCGTACACGTAGGCCAAATCATTTTCAATCAGTGCGGGCATTACAGCACGCGTGGACTCACGGACGATCGAAGGCAGGTCGTACTTCACCCTGGCGATGCGGCGCACCCGAAGCTGGCGTTGCTCCGGCACCACCTCATGGTCGATGACGTGGACTTCCTTCACGTGTGGGTAGTACTTCGAGGGGTACATGCGATAGAAGGCGCGCTGCAGAGAGATGACAAGGGCACAGCCGGCAACGAAAGGCAACACACATGCATAAATAGCGGACTCCAAGACATATCATGAAGCGTGACTCACCGTTACGCTCTCCCAGTCGAGGTTGCAGAGGAAGGTCTTGGTGAAAAGCATCGTGAGGAGGCAGTGAGGAACGGGCGTTGTAGCCGGGGGAAACGCATCATCATCTGCGACACATCCACACAGCCATTCCCATGGCTCATGCTACATTTAGACGGTGGATGAGTAGGTATATAGAACAGTGTAATCCTTCAGGCACCCGAAATAAATCGACCTTCCACACACCAGCGTCGGGGCGGAGCCTACATTATTGCAGAGGCGGTGCGGCAAGCGTGGTCGCTATTGCGCCACATTAGTCTACAAATTCGTGTAATCAAGTATACTACATTATTTGCGATGTCTAATGTTGTTATGAGCAGTAACGGCAGCCAACTAGACCTCTCACGAATCCATACGCGGAATGATAACGAGCCGTGACAGCCGGATAAAGGCCGTCGTACATTGCTACGCGAGGTCATAGACGTCCATGCACTGATCCAGCGCCCGCTCCACCAGCTGCTGCCGCTCCGAATCGGTTTGCGTCTGCCCCTCGATCGAAGCAGAGTTAGTCAGCCCCTTCACCACCGTGCTCTTCACCCGCTTGGACTCCTTGCGCAACTTCTTCACGTGCTTGAGGTGGGTCTCTTGCGTCGAAGCGTCCTCTGCGGGCTCAGGCGCGTCCTTTGGCAGCGGCAACCGCGCAGCGCCGGGATCCACTGTGCTCTCCCGTTGCCTCTGCGCAAGCTCGTTCAGCCGGGTGTGCCTGACGCGCTCGCCCGTGAGGGTTCTGCACGAGTCGACGTTGGAGCTCTGCTTCTTGCGGTGGCCCTTGGCCTTCAGCAGAGCGCCGAACCCTCCCTTGCCCCCGAGCAGCCTGCATGACACGCTTATCACCACGTCGTCCTTAATCAGTTGGTGGGAAGCATCCCTTCCTAATTGGGCATCACAGCCGTCACGCATGTCCTCAGCGCAGCAATCCGCTTCATCGTGGGACGAGGCCACCGGCACGGTTATCCCGGGCGCATCAGTAGTGGCATAAGGGTCTACTGCGGCCTTCGTTTGTACTCCCCCGCGGACTGATAGACGGGCCGACTCCCTATCAATGCCGAAGTGGCGCTCGATCAGCGACGAGAATATGCCGCTCGAGAGGCAGGGAACGCTGCCGCGGCAGGGGTCTCCTTGAGCGCACGAGTGGAAGGACAGCGCCTCTCGGCTACCGGCTGACTCGCATAGAGCCTCGTAATCGACCCACAGGCTGCGGGTAGGCCCGCTTGGCAGACAGACGAGGTACATGGCCATTGTGGAAGGTTGGCGAGGGGACGCGGCTTACCAAAGCGAGGCTGGGCAAGGAGAGCGGAATACAAGTAAAGTACACGAACGTTTTGCTACGTTTTGAGTATAACACAAATGATCCTAGTTGCTACCCTTTCGTTCACGGCAGTTCAACGCCCACTGTGGTAGCGCGGCGCGCTGCACATCGACTGACTTCGGCGGCGTTGTCTACGACTGACAATACATGGCGCTTTATTATACGTCAAACTTATGTCATACGTCGAAAGAAACGCGATGTGAGTGGTATGGCATCGGCGGCTGGCGCCAAGGCACGTCGGTGTCTACGTGATTAAAATTGCGATAGAGCTTACACATGCCGGTATCTAGAGGTCTAATTGCGTCTTCCTCACCCATATCTCCTACACATGCCCGGGAGGCTGGCATAAGCATGGCTGAGCCCCGCCGTCTGCAGTCCTTCCATGTCGGCCACAAGGGCTCTGCCACTCGCCCAGCAGTCTACGTTAGAGCCTCCCCGGGGTCACCTGAGGCGCGTGCAGTGGAGACTTCGGCAAGCACCCCGACTGGAGGTGTTGAAGAGACTGAGCGCTGCCTGCTGCGTAACATCTTGCGGTGCTTCCACTTCCTCGACTGCGAGGACAGGGGATACGTGAGCCCCGCCGAGGCCATCACCTTCATCGCGCCGTTGAAGCATGCAAACCCCGGACTATTCGAACTGTTCAATGAAGTCTTAGCGGTGACTAAAAGTGTCGCTGTTGACGGCAGGATCCGGAAGGAGCGGTTCATCGGGCAGCTAGAGTCGTCACTTCGGGCGCTGGCGCCAGACGACACTTCACCTTTGGCGCAGCTCCGTCAACCTCGTAACGCTGTCTCACGCTACTTCGGTGCCCTCGGAACGGTGGCAGGGGAATGCGCCGATGGCTCCGGCAGCTCTCCAATCGATGGATCCTGGCAAATACGGGGTAGCGACCAGTACAACGACTCGCAGGGTGGGTACAATTGCGACCAGAGTCCCCACTGCACCGATGCGACTCAACCACGTGACGTACAAGACTCGCAGTCGGACGCGGAGTGTACCTTCAAACCGGTGACGAACAGGCGCCGCGTCACAGCCGTAACCAGCGAAGCAAACGTCGGCCTCAAAGAAGAGATCCGCGACATGCATCGGCTCCAATACGGTATGTGCAATTGCGGCATACGTGTACAGTGCCTAACAGGTAATGAGCCGAAAGACGGAATGAGCGAGTACATCGTGTTCCACTTCAGTGAACGCGAGGAGTGGCCGCAAGACCTCAGGAGCCTGCAGGACCGCAGCTACTAAACGTCACATACGGACGCTTCGATACCGATTTCAGCTAAATATTATGGAGTTGCCATCTACTCCCCCTATACCGTGAAGTCTGCTCGCAGCTCAGGGATGCAGAGGGAGTCTCCCACATCGTGGAGCATGAAGAACGGCGCGCCTAGTATGCAGGGCTTCCTCATCACGCTCCCCAATACGCCCTGATATATGTGAGAGCTCTGGTAACGCAAACTAACGCTGGTGCGGTGAGGGATCTGGAAGGAGCGCTTCAGCGAGGTGCCGAGGACGCCGACGGAGAGCGTGACGCAGCTGGTGGCCACGACGACGTTCACGGTAACTATGTCGCGCTGCTTCAGGTTGTGTGGCGACTGGCCGGGCCTGGACTCGTATGTCCACTCCGCCTTGATTTGCCTGCGAAAGATGAGCGAAGCGGTGGCGGGCGAACCTGTTGGCACTTGGCTCGATGTACCCGGATTTGAAGGTGTCCTCGGCGAACTCGTAGTAGAAGACCACCCTCCTGGACCGGGTCATTGACGTGAAGCACGGGCGCGACGCGTCGTCTATAGGGTCATGCGACGCGAAGGCGACGCCAAATGCGATGTTGCCGCGCTTGGTTTTGGAGACCTCGTACGCCCACCAGCAGACGCTCATCTCGCGCTCGGTGCCGACGGTGAACGAGAGGCCGGACCGCGAATCCGACGGGAGTTTGGCGATGTTGGGCGTCACCAGCTTGGCGTTGCCCGTGTTTGGGTCGAAGAGGCCCAGCTGCTCCCTCGACGCGCGGACCACCAGCACCGGAAAGAGCCCTTTGTAGGTCATGCACGTGTAATCGGCGTTGTCGGTCCACGGGAAGTGACGCGGCTTTTTGGTGGCGCCCTGGAGGATGCGGAGCGTGGCGTCTAGCAGCAGCGTGCTGAGGTTGTCGTGCCTCAGCTGGTCGATAGCCTTCGGCGCCATCGAGCAGAACCTCACGTGCTTCAGCAGATCCTGGCGACCGGATGATCGGCGGTAGTTGCAACGTACCTTCTCCTTCGGGCCTATGGGCGCCGACGCGTACGGGCTCACAAACCGCACGTTCGACTCGAGGAACTGGCACAGCGCGGTGAACGTCTGCACCTCGTCCAGCTGTACGTTGTCGCTCTCCAGCAGCGCCTTGACGGCGGCCATTCCCATGCGCTGGAGCAGGCTTCCTGATACCGGGTTGTATGGACGTTCCTAGGTTGGTGCCTACCAGAGAAGACGGCGAATGCGGCATCCGCCAACACCCTTCCGCAGTCGCGTGACAGTTCCACCTCCCCCGAGCTCTCTGCGGCGTAAGAGAGACTCGCCAGGACCTGGAGGCTGTGCTGACTCCTGATAAGCCTGAGCAAACTCTGCTTCAGGTCAGACAGGCCGAAGCGCGCGGACTCCTGGTACATGGGCACCAGCAACTGAGGCTCCTCTGTCACATTCTGGTAGTCATTCCTGGACTCTGTGTGGAAGCGCAGACCGAACTCACTTGTAAATGTAGTACAGGATCCTCTGCACCGCCAGCGGGTGAGGGGTAACCAGGGTGTACCTAATCCTTCCCTGACTCACTCCGCCGAGGTCCTGGCGTATCCTCTCGGTGCTCTGGAGGTCGTTGAACGCGCGCATGAAGAACGGCGACGCCACGCGCAGCACGCCGCTGTGGACGTTTATCACGATGTCCTCCGGCGAGGCCTGTGTCTACCATGCTTTGCCCGCATTAGAAGTTAAACTAACGTCGGAAGGCGACTCGGACTGCCGGAGCACGAGGATTGTGTCGGTGAGCTCGTCATCGATGTCATCTCTGCGGTCGGTTAGAATCCTCGACGCTGCACATACCGCGACGTCAGCTCCGACAGCTTCACCGTCGGCAGCACGGCGCCTTCTCCGCGCATACTCGACGACGACATTACGCCAGTATAAAATATTAAAAGCCAAACATTATGTGTGAGACAGGCGCCACGTAGAGATGCTACACACCCTGAACGACGGCTGCAAGAAGGCTGCGAGGCATGTGTGAGGATGGATCCGCTACTTGCAATATATTATATATTGGACAACCGAAGACTGTAACATACAAGCCGTACCTATAGTAGGCTGATGCCGGAAAAGACCCACCTGAGAGAGCCGGGTGTGTAGACAGCATTAATGCAATGACACTGGAAGAACGGGGCAGAAGCAACGGCAGACAGCTTACTGCGGTAATTCCACACCTTATAATCAGCTTGATCGCCCCAATTGCAACTCTACGTATGCTTCATTGTTAACGAATCGCAACCGCACTAGCCATGCTACCGCGCCACCGTTGATCGCCGTCGAAGGAACGCAAGAGGTAGAGGCACATAACCCATCCATCCAAATGTGAAGCGAGGCTTAGCACTGCCCGGCAACAGTCTCTATCTTCACACGTCTTCCACCACCTAAGCTGGGAGTAACGCTACAATCTCTATGAACTTAACTTGCAGGCTTTCACCTGAATGAGGCGCTTTTAAACACACAATATATTGCATCGACCAGCCATATAATGCGTATGCATAATCTCCGCGCCCCTCCAAATCATAACTATACAGCAGGCACAACAAATGTAGTGAGGAAGTGTGATACGACCATTATTGAAAGATTGTGGTCCATCCGTGAGTGAGCGCGTCGTCGTCGAAGTAGTCGATGTCGTAGAGTGAGGGCATCTTCGTGCCGTGAGTGAGTAATGCCTTGACATCGATGACGTGGGAGCCCTTGGAGCGCATGCAATGAGAGCGTATGCGCATAATCTCCAGGCGGTAGAGGAGGGTGTGGACGAGGTATAGCAGCGTGTAGATCCAGAGCGCCACGCGGGTTAGAAGAGTGGAGATAGGGAGACGATATTTGTGCAAATATATTACTGTTCGTGGCACACCAGGATCTAGAATTGCTAAGTACATTAGAAGACGTTTGCCCAAAACCTTAGGGAATGCACCGGACTTAGGAGCTTCGCCGTTACATTGCTGGTATAGTCTACTGGTTCCAGCCGTTGCAGTCTCGAAATAATCCGGCGTTGCGCCCCAGGTTCCCAGCATCTCAAAGCCTCACCTCCACCAACGTCTTACATCCTCACCTAGCTAACTTATGGTTCTAGAATCGCGATGGAAATGTATTGCCAACATGAGCTAATGACCCCTGAAATCCTAAGCATGTGCTTGCCTGCCATGTCAATGTAAGCGTGGCATAACGCACTCCTCACAGCACAACAGTCTCAGCATACCATTCATTGTTATATATCCGAAAGTCGTAGTCTCACTTAGGTAGCAGGATAGGTCACTGAGTTTAAGGTAACCATGTCTTAAACTATGAACTGCAACTGACCGCATTTGGCGGCGGCGGGATTCGAAGACTGTCCAAGTAACATCTGTGCATCCACGCTACTTTCAGTTCATATATACTGTTGCATACGTATCGCTCTGATGTATGCAACGAGCAGTCGTTACATTCTAGCCTCAAGTGAATGCACCTGACCATCCCTCCAGCTGTCCAAGGTACGGCGTTCCTTCATCGGGTGACGATAAAGCTTGCATCGCTTAAACATTTCTTGAATAGGTGTCTGACATTGATCCACTATGCACTCTAGCCGCGTGAAAGTCTATTATCAATGAAGAGCGTACACATGGTAGCATGGAAACACGACGCAGCGTGAAACATTCGTAGGCTACTCAGAATATTCAAGACGATACAGTTGCACATTAATCCCCTGAAATGGCCACCATATGTCATTAGAAACATGGTCTTTCGATAAGTTTTATTTACTAATCAAAATGTGGGTATTTTAAAACGGGGTCTGGAAGTTCTGTAGGGCTATATACGTTCCAGTTCATGTAAGCCTATAATCTGCTATCAGCACAAGGAAAAATCGGTATACACTTTAGGCCCTTATGCCACTCCTGCGGATGGCTATAAAATGCAACCATTAGTAGCCACAGTGGGAGGGAGTCAGCGAGGCCATAGGCGGAAAAGGCCTAGACCGCTCATAAGCTAGCGGAACAGTAACACTAGGAAAGAAATTTCCAATAGTTATGTTGTGTCGCTGATTTAGTTGCTGGTGACTAAACGTGTCTTAAGGAAACTCGGATCAGCACGTGAGGCTGAGGTGTTAAAGGAGAGTTAAGTCACAAGGTTACGAGGCGATCAATGAGGGGTTATAAAAGAGAGCAAGAGAAGCGGGTGTATAATCGCCAAGCCTGCTTCATTGTAAGACGTGCGCGATGCCATCCGTGTTTGTATATAGTTAGGCATTTCTGGCGCTCCAGCCCCTAGGCCCGGTACCATCGCAATAAACGGCACTATAGCATTTTTGCCATCTTGGAATCACACGAACAGCTTTAGGCCTAATACATGACGTATAAAGCAAGATTATATATGCTTTGTTGTTTTGCATTGTATTTCTAATTTGCACTAACGCTGCCAAAGCTTCCATCCACCCGGAGCCACCCTGGCGTGGTAACCTGAGTAATGCTGAAACGCATTTCATGCATAACCATACAGTGTTTTTGGACGCCATACATGGCTTCTCTAAAGCATAAAAGGTGCAGAATAAGGCACCCAACGAGGTGTATTGTGTACCGTTCAGTTGCACTGCAAACACGTCGCCGAGTGAGGGGATGAATAAGGTGGCGCAGGTTCAACCAGGTACAAAGCTAAGTGAAACACTTTACGCTACGATTAGTTGAGTGAGAGTGTACGCTGTCGATCGTTCAAGACCGTGTCCCCTTGCTAACAGTGGCATGGTAATCGATTGAACGTTGCCAAGTTGTCGAACAAAAAATGTTGCAAAGCATTAGGTGAACTTATTAAACACGTTATAGATATGCCATGAGCAGTCGACTGTATCACAACTATGAATGATGGAGACTGTGAATCTATCTCCAGTAAGCTGGCTGATAGGGATGGATCAGCCCAGACCCTCGTGTGCAAGGCCACAACGCCGTCCATTGCACCCAGCGGCTCATACGTCGAGCATGGAAACAACTTGGAAATGCATGCTGGAGTAGCATCAAAAGCCGCAGGAACTTTTCAGCTGCATGCGTACGTTCATCTAAAGGGAAGTGAATGAGGCGCTGTGTGACTACGTAGGTGTGTTGAGGCTTGCTAACGGATAATACGGCATGACATTGTCAAACGTGACGACTGAGCAGCTTGGTAACGCGCATCAATGGACAACAATGTGGTCCTCACTAACAGTTTACACGCACAGTAGCTCACCTAGCCGCCTACTATCGCACCAAAACAGTGACACATAGAGGCAGTGGTAGTCGCCGTGTTAAAAGCCGGGCCAGTGGCGACTTCGCAACTCTGACGCCACCTGACCTGCATGCCACGGCTAGGATACCATTCACATGCATCTGTGTCGCAGATATCTCAGTGGTATCTCTGGCGGCCGCCTGGTTGGTCGCATAACGCTGAGGGGAGACGGCTTGGCGACGTCACTATGCGGGGTTAGGGTAGGCATCCTGGATGGAACACGGAATGTCCAGGGGGCATGCTCTCATCCCACCGTGCGCCAGGCTGTTACGTGAGTTGGCTTCCGGGTTTGTTGGATTCCTGGATTCGTCGCCCTCCCCTCAGGTGAGCGCACTATTTACCATCCACGTGTTATAAATGTAGTTTACGGGGCGGCTCAAACGTGTCTTACCATACGATCCTGAGCTTATTGTTTTGTTTTACGCCGCACTTAGTTGCCACTTAGCGTTGTACTCTGTAGCCTGTTCACTCAGCCCACTTAGCGGTTTGGCTACGCTGTCTTGTAAGCGGCGCTACCTAGATACACGATCACGCTGCCACGTCTAGTTCGCCGTTTGATGCTCCCTTGTATGTTGCCCTTTCAGAGGCTTCCCGGAGAATTGCCGACCTTATGATTTTGCTACTATCGCATTCCCTACATCGCATGGTGTTATCGCTGTAGATCCGTTGTCTTCCGTCTAACAAGTTATCGCGGGGAAGGCGTCGACATGGTGGCGGACCATGGAGTTGTGCTTAGCACACTTAAGGACTGCTTTCAGTTCCTGGGGTGGTTGAACAGTAACGATGATGAGACTGTGCTAGAAAAGGTGGCAAGTGAGCTGGAAAACCGTATTGATACATGTCATAAGAATCCTCAGTTTGAATCTGAATTTAGAAGTTCACTCATCAAATTTCTCGACGGCATCTCATTGGTTTATCACCAAATAAGCAAGGAACCATCCGCGAGGACATATGACCAAAAAACCGCAGCTCAGGTTGCCGAGGCCTTTCACGAGTGCCTCATTAAGGTGCACTCTGCACTTATATATTTGCTGGACATTGTGAGCCTTAGTTATGACGATGCATGTGGTGGTGATAGGGAAAGGTTTGAGGAACTACAAGATCATGAGCTTAAGGAATATCTAATCTTCTCCAACTCTGATGATTTCAACGGCATCATCACTGGAGGTTTTGGTGATGGTGACCTGAAAAATCTGCGGGCCTCCAAATTGGCAGAAAATATTCAAAATGCGCTCGGCAACCTAGAAAGACTTAACGACATCTTGGGATGTAATAAGCGTATAAAGGAAGATTATAAAGAGTCTGATCTCCCACCTGCCAATGTTCCGGATATTCCTATAAAACCGTCTTCAAAGGTCGTGCCAACTAAAACAGGGAATGCAAAGCCCGTTATAAAATCCGATGGTAAGCATATACGGTGCGATAAGAATGAGTTGGCACAGAGCCACGGTAAAATGTCTGAAGACGCACAAAACCAGCGTTGGGATGGTTCTACATTCCCATATCAGGATGACGACCTATTTGCAGTGACGGACTCAGATTTACCTCATTATAATCAATACCTGTCAGGGTCTCCAGATGGATGGCATCAGGCTGCAGTGCATTCTGTTGATCCTGAAAAGCTGGAGGCCGAAAAAAAAGTGCCGGTCGTGCCAGCTAAAAAGCATATTCCTGAAGACCAACCTCCGAAAGAAAAGCCTCCAAAGGTCAATGAACAGCCTAAAGATTTGGCATCACCGCCTGAAACGCTCATGCCTAAAGAAAAGTCTACTTCTAAAATAGCCTCAGCAAAGCGTGTCGCCACTAAGTCACAGGCGACCAAAAATGAGACATCTCATCCCTTCAAGAAATCTGAGGAGGCACGGGACCAGGGTAAATACTCTGACCCAGACTGGGATAAATTGTTCGACCGGATTGAGCAAGAGGATGCCTATTCATATGCCGGATGTGCTTATGAATCCCCGCAGGAGCCTGATGGCCCAGGGTATCCTTCACCCAAAGTTCCTGCAGCCAGCCCAAAAGTGGTGCCCGAAAAGAATGTTTCAACTACTCCATCTAAGAAGCCGGAGCTAACGCCTGTCTTGTTTTCTGGGAGGCCTAAAAAGCCTGAGGTGCCTCCTGCCAAGGTTCCCGTCACAAAACCTACTGCCACCAAAACTGAAGCTGTAAAGCCTGTTCTCACTAAAGCTAAGGCGGCGAAGCCGACTGCCACTAGTACTCCGCTTGCTCAAAATCCTGGTAAAAAATCCGAGAGGGGACAGGACCAGAGCAATGAAGCTGAATCATACCGAAATCAACATGACTTTGAAGAATCGGATACATATTATGCAAGCGAAGACCCTAATGTCCATACGCTTACCGATGAACAAACTGGTGAAGGCCCTCCAGGATCTCCGGAGTCCCTTCCCACGAAACTTACGGAATTCCGTAAAAAGGCTTTACAAGCAGAGGAATCCGAAGGTTCTCCAAATCTGGGCAAGGAAGTGGACGCACTCCTGGATGACTATGATGTTTCAATTCACGAAATGACTTCAGATTCACCTGTTCCATATTCTGATGTAGACCTGCAAGAACATGCTGAGTCAGGTCCTCAGCGGTCTTCGCTTGCAGAAGCTCTCGGAATTCCCAAGGAGCCTGTCCCACAGAAGCACCCTCCGAAAGTGCCACCTAAGAACTCCGATTCCCCGCCTTTAGAGGCCTCCAGGGAATATGTGCCAGAAAAGCAGTCTGAGGGGCCACAATATCAGGTCGAGGCATTGGATGTTGATACAGATCTAAATAACGGCCAAGGTGATCTAATGCCTGCATATTCACCTGTAGACTACACTCATTTCCCTCAGCTACCCGGCAATCAAGGAGATCAACCCAATCAGGGCCAGCAGGGAGATCAGCCCCAGCAAATACAGCGTAATCCAGAACTTCAGAATACTACGCCTGCCTTGGCTGCTGAGACTGGTAAAAACCCTGCCGCCGTAAGGTTGCAACCCACTACATACTACTCTGGTAAGAAGCTTACGGACTGTCCCACGAACCTTCGCGAGTCCATCGACTGGATCATCCAGCTTAAGTATGGGAGTGGCCATGGTGATGGTGTTGATAACTTATCCGAAGCCTTGGACAAGCTGCATCGGAAACTTATTGCAGACTCCTTTTCCAATCTGCTTGATCAGCTTTCTGACCTTCTTGATCCTTGGAAAACAACGCCGTGCTGTCGGCGGATTCATAGAGCAATTAGGACAATTAAGATTAAACTTCAGCATCCTAGAAATATCCAAAGAAATCATATTAACGGTCTTTTAAAGCAACTTGAATATAATAAGGAGGTCTGTCTTCAACATCATTACATTGACTCCTCTAAGGATGAAGCTTTGAAGGATGTTCATTCCAAGATGAGGGATCTTGCTGGTGTTAGTAGGGATATTAACACTTCTAGAAATGGTTTACTGCATCACCTTTGTGACGGCGTTCAAATCCTACTAGGCTTCGACTCATCTTCCAAAGGTTATTCGGGCTCCGGCATCGTCTACTCGGACCTTGACAGGCTGTGCGACGGGGTGATGGCGTTTTTGTATTCAGTGCTCAAAGCGGTTCATGATAATGAGAATCTTTGGCCTTATTCAGCTAAGTTGGAAGGTGCTGTTACCAAGTTGTATCAGCATATTAATAAGGGCAAGACAGATTGGCATGAACTAATTGAGATTGTCAAGAGTGGGACCGTTGACTGGAGGCAAGGTTCCACAGGAGGTATTGCGGGCTGGCTGGAAGCTGTCAAGGTGACTAACGACGGAGTTGCTGGACCGTTAGGGAAAATGATGAATAAAGATGATAGCCCGGGATCTGTAGACATTCCAGGCCTTGTAGAAGACGCTCATAATATAGTAAAAAAAGAATATGAAGAGCCCAAGGATGAAGGTTTCCGTTCCAGGTGGGTGGGCAATCTGGACAAGCTTATTGTGAAAAGTAAGGAGTCATCCCAAAACCTTAATGACTTGGATCTCAACCTTCGAAACCAATTATCTCCCCATGTCGCCCTAATTAATGAATTAGTGACAGTTTTTGTGATGTCGACGAAGAAGGATCATGAGGGGCTTGAGGAGGCACGTGAGAATGTAAGTTCTGAGATTGAGAAGCTTCGAGAAGAAGTTAATAGAGTTGCTGAAGAGCAAAAAGGGAGTTGTATACGTCAATTAACGGAGGCACTTAAAAATAATATCCACGATCCGATTGCAAAGGTGAAAAGGAATCTGGAAGATGTTAAAAAAAGTTTGGAAAATTGGACCGCTGCAGCAACAAGGTATGTTATTGAGGGCTTAGCGACTGCGAGCAAAGTTCTTGCAGAAGTTGGTAAGGACGGTAAAAATAGATTGGACGTTAAAAGCGCAGTTAAAAGGTTAAAAGATGTCACTGAACATTATTATGTGCGATTGCAACAAAAGGGGCTTGAAATATGTTGCTACCAGGTCAAATACACCTTGGATAATCTATGCACGGAGGTGACGAAATTAGTGGATTTTCTTTTTACCGAGGTTTTGAGTGGATTCGGCGGTGGCCATGTTACACGCGGTGAAGTTCGCGGAAGGAATGTATCAGAGCATCTAAATTTGCTGACACAGGTTGCGCACGTTGTTAATGGCTATGCGCAAAGTATTGGGACGTTCGCTGGGTCTTCTCAGCCACAGCATTTAGAACAGTTGCGGATATCAACGCAGAGTGTGGAGACTATTACCATTCAACTACAAAGCATGCATCAATATTCATATTCGTCCAGTATCATTGCTTCCCATCTACAACACCTTCACACCTTTGTTACTACAATCAAGAGAACGGTGAACGAGTGCATCAACACCATGAAAAGTGGAATAAAGACTAAGTTGAGTGAGCATAACTCTGATGCGTTTACTAGTAATGCCACTCAAGTCATTGCTTCAATAAGTCGTGCAGTTGGAAGTGCATTGAGTATAGGTTCAGAGTTTGCCCTGCAGCTTCAGACAGCGCTTAAGTGGAATGCTTCGGAGTATCAGCCTCGTGCTCAGCATCCCACCAGCCTTCGTTGTTTTCAGGGTGTTTCTGATTCGCTTAGACAATTGTCGCAGGATGTTAATGCTTTCTCTGCCGATATTAGCGATCTAAATGTGCACATCGCAGAATGCGAAAAATGCGTTGCTGAACCCTTAAAAAAGCTTCTGGAAAACATCAGTTCAGCCGGAAAGGCTATTAAGCAGAATTTGGAGGAGTTGAAAAAATTGATTGACGGCAACGGTCCAGGTATTACGCCGAAGGATCTTGAACGTAACCTCGAGAAAATACGGGATGAAATTGATGATATCATTGGCACTTCGCAGTCGGTAACTCCCAATCCGCCTAAAACTCTGGAAGATATCGTCACTGCGACCAAAACATTCTACGAAGAAGCCCTTTCAAATGCGGTAAAAATGTATATAGAGCAAGTAACCTTCACACTCCAAACCCAAGTCACCGCAAAGGCCAAAGCCATCCAAAAATTCGCCCTCTCCCAGTTCGCCGAGTCCAAGGCCCAGGGGTTGCAGCAGCTGAAGGAGTTGGTGAGTGCACAGAAAGCATTGATTGATGGGATCATCGAGGAGGATAAAAAGAGCGGGCTGAAGGGCTTAATGTTACACATGTATGGCGGGAGATATCCATATGGTATACACCCAAATCATCCGCTTGATAACCTTAGAGATGCTTTGCCTAGGCCGGCTGAAGGTGCGGAGGGTCAAAAAAATACAGAGGAGCTTAAACGTTTTAACACCTTGTCCGAGAAATTCAAGGAATATTTGGGTCGGATTTTGGAGCATGTGAACACTGACGTTATGAATGTATCACCTACCGAACCAACGACTGGAGATGTCAAAAAAGAAGAGAGCAAAGAATCGAGCCAAGTTGCCAAAATTAAAGATGCACTCGACGCTCTGCTTGAACATATGGGAAGGCCACCGCTTAAGAAAATGTACATTTTCGATAATAATTTTTGCAATCTACGTGAGTTCCTATCTGACTGTCTCTCCTCTCTATCCCCCTACCAATTCGCAAACCCACGTCACCCCGAGCTGCTGGATGTTGTCAAAAAAGGGCTGCAGGGGTTTGCCGGGGAGCTAAGGCAGGCGTATGTGAACAAGTATGATGGCGCGGCAAGAATTAATTGGAACGAGAGAGAATCCTCCGATGGCGAGAACTGCGCGAAAATACTTTGGAGTATAGTTAGAAATTTCCTTTTTGACTTTGATGCATTGAAAGATAGCTGTAATGGTAGTTGGAAAGGAAGGAAAATATGTTTAACTGTTTATGATGAAAAGGCTAAAAGGGCTGTCGATAATCCCCTCGGCCAATGGTTGAGGGGGCGCGGCTTTAAAGTGCCTAAGGATGAGAATAGCCAGGACGCTGAGTTAAACAAGGAGAGGACGGGTGCGCAAATCTACGATCGCATGTGCCGCACTGACACTTTGTACACGTATGACAAGGAAGTGCCTGGTGCGTTATATGCCTATCTTCTGCACTACTACAAGACCTGCCATCGTAAATATGTTCCCAACCCGCGCCCACCCACCACTGTCAACGAGATGCTCCATTGGCTTTGCGGCGTGGAGTGGAATTCGGTGTATAATAAACTGAAATCTTACTTTGGAACATTCTACGATGAATCAACAGCGGACTATGAATTGGGAAGGAAAACATTAGAAGTCGCCATATCGGGCCGTCCCAGCGGCACCATACATTACGCTTTCGAGCGTAAATTGTTGAATGGCATTTTCAACAGTGTAACATTACGAGCATATGATATGCTCATCACCATTCTCGGCCACGGCCACGCTGATGGTCGCTACGCCGTTGACTTTGTTACCAACCCGGATAATTTATTGTATCCCACTGACACAAAAGAATGTTTTGATTTGCTGGTGGAGATTTTGTTTAGGCTTGATCACCAACTTCGTTTCCTTTTTAAGATGTGTCAAAATAGTTCTGAGAACGCTGGTTGGCGTGATTGTCATTTCGGCAAGGGAGTCGGTGAGTCACGTTGGCCCTGTAACAAGTTGAGATGCACGGAGCAAGACTGTGGCAATAAGTGCACAAAGTATTCAAGCTTTGGCCTAAAATCGCCGCTTCAATTGTTCTTCGAAGACAGACTGCCGGGTTTCCTTCCGCATCAGCTCACCACCTCCAACGGCCAGATTATATGTCAATTCTACGACCACTTCGGTCTCCCTTGTAAGACGCCGATGGGTTTCCGTGAGCTCGATATGACGGCGTCGCGTAGGCAGAAGGGTGATCATCTAAGGGGCATTCTTGAGAGATTCTGTGGTACAGGTTATGCACCGGGTTCACTGACACTACTCTGTTGTTCCTTTAGATGTCTATTAAATAGACCGCCTCAAAATCTGGGAGAGATATTCGCGTTCTATCAGGCTTACCTCGAGAGCTGGAAGGGAGGTTGGCAAAATGTCGCACAAATTCGGAAGCATAAGGAAACCGCATTCGTTGACGCACTGCGCGATGCCAACGTCGGATGTTCGTATGCTTACTTCGATCCGAGCAATTTGTTCGGCAGCAGTGGTCATGGATCTGACACTCATTCCACAGGTGACCTGCTCAGCATAGTCAAATGCGAGTCTGACGCAAAAGACACATGTGGCCAATACGTCCAGTCGATAAGCTTCGATATTTCGCTGATGTATGCTTCCATCTATAAGGAATTATACCTTTCGTGGGTAGTATACGTAACTGAGACGTTCTACGATCTGCTTAAACATCTGCGTGACGAGTGCTGTAGAAAGTGCGAATCGTCGGGTACAGGATGTCATGACAAGAGCTGTGTAAAAGGGTGTGCAGCGTATACATCTTCTAATCACGCTATCGAGTGCACCTCCATCGTCAAATGCCCCAATGCCCTTCCGACACTGTATAAATACGGATTCACATTTGGGAGCCCATACAAACTGAACGGTGCTAAACATTATGAGGGACAGAAAAGAACGTGCAAGGATTTTCGCAGCGCATTGGAAAATGTCATCAGAGAAAAGAACGTTCTCCACACTTTTGCACATGAGACCATACCCAAGTTCCTGTGGGCCATCCGTCTCCCCTTCTTCTACACCATGGTCGCACTGTGGTCTATCGCAGCTCTTCTCATCGTCTACACTCTGCTCTGCCGCCTGGAGATACTGCGCATACGTTCTCACCTTATTCGCTTCAAGGTGTCGCACCTCATCAACGTCAAGGCGCTACTCACTCCCAGGCGGAAGATGCTGTCACTGTACAAGGACGTCGATTACTTCGACGACGACCCCTTAGAAGTACTGTACGTCAGATAATGATATAGAAGTTACATATACATCTGTTGCTGTATGTCAGCCATGCGTGACCGTGACCGTGACCGTGACCGTGGTGTGGCACTAGCGCCTCTAAATAATTGCACAAATAGCTTAGTAATTGCCACCAATGCGACCATTAGGCCACCTATTCATAGCGCAGTTCACATACAGCCATACCGTCGTGGCCACATGTTAGGTCACACTGGTCACTCCCTTTGTCCATGGCCATATCGAACCTACGGCTGCATATTCAGATGACACAAACGGGGCTGACAATGCCACTCACGTGGCACGTCATACTCAATCAAGACTGTAAAATGAGGTTTAATAGAGGCGCAAAATTTTTACAAAGATTGCTATGCCATTTCCACAGAGGCTATTGCAGCAAGGGGCGACACATGCAACCGATGAACTGTATGGGGCCTTGTGGGTGGTGTATATTGAGCAAAAAAGCGGAGTATGAAGGCTGTGGAGACCGTGTTTCTAGCAGATAGAGCGGTATTCATATGGGAATGGAGACTGACCTAAAAGGCGTGAAGGACAAGCCAACAACATAGTTGAGTCGTGGGTGGAGTGGGGATTTAAGTATACGTTGTGATCCCAGAAGAGTACGGTTAAAGAACAAGCGAACGACTATATTAACACGTGCGTCTTAATGTAGTTTGAAGGCTGGGTTAAGACTGATGGTCCACGTCAGTGAGGGTGTCAGAGCTTGGCTGAAGAGTGTGGAGAAGAAAGATGGAAATGTTACAATGCCCTTGAATGATCTTGAAAATATTGTTGATGGTAACATGTCTGTTAGTATGTTATGTAAGCGAATTACAGATCACGTGGGAAATTGGGAGGGGACTGGTGGCCTGCACCATGAAGAGGCTGGGAAGGCAGAAAGAGCTTTGGGTGGAATTGACAAAAATGTTGGAGATATGATATCGTGTAAAATATGATATTCAAAAAACATGTCGACAAATACTGGCGCCGCCGTTAATGATCCCAGGGTGAAAAAATTCAGTAAGGCAGCTGGGTGACGTGTTCACTATACACCAAGTTGAGGTGGAAAAGCAAATTGAGAGGGAAATACAGGGGATGCAGGAAACATTTAACGGCCAGTGCGACAACATTGCCACAACTATCAAACACATTGATGGCATGCAAAACCAAAAATATTGAGTCTACCACATGGGCCGCGCAAGCGGCGGAGAGGTTAGATGAGACGCAGGTAAGGACGACGGTGCCGCCTAATGATCCGAGGAGTGCACAAGAATCAGGGTGATGACTAAGTCGCAACTCTAAAATGATATCTACACTGGGCGCACATCCGTAGCACAGCATCGGAAGGACTAACGACATTTAGCGTAAATATGTCCACCTCAGGGAGGCGTCAAGGCCGAAGCGTCCGTTCTCCATATGGAGTCAGGACACGTGGAACCGTTAGAGTAGTGAAGAACCTGCAAGGCCAAGTGGACAGATGCTATGAAGCTGTAATTAGAAATGGCAGCGAATTTAGTAAAATGCGCGACATCTACGAACATGACATTCATGTTAGACTAACTTAATCCACCTAAACTGCGGGTAGCGATAGCCGCATAATCATGGGCCTGGACATCTTTGTAAGGCACAAGGTTGGCAGTGGCTAGAACACCCACATGCGCATGCTTTTGTGTTGTACCCGATGACGCAGTGGATCGAGCGCCCAGCCGATGCTACTGCCCTGGTACTCCGGATGCGGCCGCGAAAGCGGTACGCTGAATCATAGGTTATATACACTTAACGATATTGTTGTTATTGGTCGCATGCGTAGCCAGTAGGCGACATGTTAGGGGCGTCGGCTAAGGCGCCGCATCGCCATATCACTGGGACGCTGGAGGCTGCGATCTGGCGGTTGCGCTATGATGTTAAATGAAGTTCTTGGCCGTGTGAATGAAGTCAGAGGATAGGATGGCCGTGGCGAAGAAGTTGACGAACAAGTGTGGTTGTGACAAAAATTATTGCACTAAACACGGCGACCCTTGCGGTGATGCTAACTGTAAGGTGTTCAAATCATGCTGCCCCCCAAATTGCCAGTTTTGCGTGAAGAAAGAATGTATAGAGGGAGAGAGATGTAAATGTTATTTTTGTGAATGTGATTGTCAGAAAGATGATGAAGTGAAGAAAGGCAACAAGCTCTGCAAGAACTCCACGGCATGTAAGCTCTGCGCGGAGAAATGCAAAGATGTAAAAGACAAAAGGTGTTTATGTTTCCTCTGTAATTGTGGAGACCACTGTGATGGCGTGAATTGTCAGTGCTGTAAATGGTGTAATCCGTACAGCAGGTGCCCGGGTCCGGACAATTGTGACCAAAAGGAGGACAAACATGACGAAAAAGAATGCAACAAAGGCATGTGTGCCAGATCCCCAGGTACATGTGGTGTATGCGTCTGCAAAGATAAGGTCAAATCCGCCTCCGCAGAATGCTCGGAATGCAAGTGCAGCTGCAACGGCGACTGCCCAAGAACCAAATGCTTCAAGGCCAAACATGGCCCTAAGCACAACTGCGACTGCACAACTGATAAATATGCTGTGAAATGCGTATGCGAATGCACCTGTAACTGTAGTTCCTACGGCCAGCATTACTGCTCAGAGCACATAGATATTAGCGAATGCTCCGGCAAAGGTTGCAGCACAGTCATCTACTACGCTGGCAGATGCCGCTTCAAGTGCACAAATTGCGGCAAGCTGTGTTCCCAAGATGAATTTAGGCGCCGATGCTATATAGGAGTACCCATACTTTTAATCGCAGTGGCTATCATTGTTGCCTGGCGCAAGTATCCCGAGAAATTCCGCAAGGTGTATTACAAACTAAGTGCTGCAACTACCAACTCGTTTAAAAGTTCCGGCGCATCCACGAATCTTGCCGGTGGAAGGATTCACGAGGAGATGGACACTGATGAATACTCCGCCTTCCCGTTTAAGGGCCTGATGTAGCTTCATATAACACACGTTGAATGGCATATCTCAACAGGTGCCATTTAGATGTCGCATTAACTGTTGTTAATGTATGTTCCCCTTTGCCAGATTGATGCGTCGGGTGTTGCGTGGTGGTTTACTTGTGGTGATCGTTATAGCGTAGAGGCTGAATGAGATTGACAATGGTACTTGCTTTTTTGTAGTTGAGTGTCTTGTCGGTGCTGTTCCATATAACCATGCTGTCACCAACAGCCATTCCACATAGCACACCTTAGCCACGGCAGATACAAAGTCGTGCTACCATCGACAAATAATTGTTAAAGGTGCAATGATGGTAGCAGCTTAATGTAGACACAGTGCCAGCGCGGGCAGGTAGTGCCGTGGAAAAGTGTATTAAGATGGAGATGAGGAATGCATTTGGGAGACGGAGTGAAACGCAGCCGACGTAAGGAAGTGGAAGGAGGCCGAGGTAACGAGGTGAGAAACAAGTGTATCTGGAGCCGAGCGGAGTGAAGGCGACTGGAGGAGGAGCTTGCGACGACGACTTAAAGATAAGGCGATCATATAAAAGAAGGCGATTGAAGGTTGAAATGTTGGAGGAGGAGCGGCAGCGACGACGACCTGTACAGAGATGAAGAGTAAGTAGAGTCAGGTACGAGGTAAATAGGGTGATTCAGGGATGAAGAGAAGATGAAGAAAGGAGCTGAGGGAGGTGGAAGGGGAAACAAAAGGTCTGGTAGGGGACGGTGACGGAGTAGAGTAGCGGCAGACAGGGAGCGAAGCGACCGGAGGGAGAGGAGGGTGGCAAGGCAAGAGAGAGTTTAAATGAGGAATGGGATGAGGTAGGGAGAGACTGGTCAGCGAGTGGAGATGGCAGACAGGGAGCGGCAGCGACGAGAGGGAGGAGAAAAAAAGGCTGACGAGATGGATTAAGGGAAGTGAAAGAAGGTGTAGAAGGCCGGGTAGGGGTAGAAGAGGGAAGCAGTAAATGGCGAATTAAGGGTGAGAGGATGAGTAATTACTGAGTTAGGTGACAGGGCGGCAAGCAGCGATGGTAAGGCGAGATGGGCGGTGGAGAAGCACGGCAGACGGGGAGCGGCAGCGACCAGAGAATGAGGAGGGTGGAGAGAGAGAAGAGTCAAGGAACAGATAAAATAGGTCATGAACTGCGGCAAGGCAAATAAATTTGCCTATAGAAGACTGACAATACAGAAATACGACTGGAGGATGAATTAAAAGCTTAGCAACAGGCAAAGCAGCGTGAGAGAGGCGCGGATAAAGCTACGGGAAGCAGGAAAACGCATAGACAAACCCTAATTCGCCAGGATTAGGGTTTGGCGAGGTAGGAGTTAGGAAATTAGGTGTATTTGGAGGCGAGCGCAGCGAAGCCGACGGGAGGAGGAGCGAAGCGACGACGACCATTTTAGATGATGCAACGAGGTAACGAGTCGAGTAATAAGGCTATTTGAGGAGGCGAAAGCCGACGAAAGGAGGAGCGTAGCGACGACATGATTAAATTGACGCAGCAAGGAGCAGAAATGAAAATGATTATGAGGAGGGACGAATGGAGCGGCGGCAGTGTAATAAGAAGATAAAGAAGAGGGAGCGAAGCGACGACGACTAAACAAGATTAAAGGAGCGCAGCGACCACAATATTAGCATTATCTGGAGACGAGCGAAGCGAAGGCGACCTACAACATGGAGGAGGAGCGTAGCGACGACTACAAGAAGAAAAGAAGGCGGAGTGAAACGCAGCCGACGTTAATAGAAACACATGGCGGCGTGAGAAATATTGGAAGACCGAGTTGACGAGGTGAGAAACAAGTGTATCTGGAGCCGAGCGGAGCGAAGGCGACTGGAGGAGGAGCTTGCGACGACGACTGAAGAAGATGAAAAGGAGCCGAGCGGAGCGAAGGCGACGTGAGGAGCCTGATCCCAGAAAATGAGGGTCAAGAGCACGTGGAAAGAGGATGATGACGGCATCACCGAGGAGGTACGACGAGGTGAGAGACGTAGTGTTGTGAGGGTGATGAAGGCCGACGGAGGAGGCAGTGGAAGGTAGAGGAGAGTGATGGATTGGGATGATGGTCGGCAGCAAGGGAGATTGAGAGACGCCATGAGGGGCGTCATTTGAGATGATCAAGGGCAGTAAGGGGAGTGAGGGAAGTTGGGAGGGGGATGAAGGGAGGCGGTGGGAGAAGGCAGGGAGCGACAGCGACGAGAGAGAGGGGAGGGTGGAGAGAGAGAAGAGTCATGGAACAGGTGAAATAAGGTATGAGCTGAGGTAGATAGGGAAGTGGGCTTTGTAGTAGACCACAAACACAGAGATGAAAGCTGAAATAGTGGAAATCACTGCGCTGAAAAATACAACGTGTAGGAAGCACAAAAAGCGGATAAATGTGGAAGGGGAAATGAAGGAGGAAGAGCCATGGCCTTAGAATAAGAAAGTTGTGGAAACAGAAGTGGCGATCCGAGGGAACGAGAAGACGCATCTAGGATGAGGAAATGAATGACGAGGCAGAGTAGAAGATTAATGAATAAACCGAACGTGCTATGAGGCCATTAATATGAAGATAAGCTCCGAAGCGGATGCAGAACAGAGAGCAAAGTGCTGAAACAGCGTAAACGAAGCAGAGGCACGCATATGGGAGGAAGGAAAGCACATAGACAAACCCTAATTCGCTAGGATTAGGGTTTGGTGAGCTGGGGGTTAGGAAATTAGGTTCTTAGGGCTGTTAGGTTTAGGTTTAGGTTTAGGGTTTAGGTTTAGGTTTAGGGTTTAGGTTTAGGGTTTAGGTTTAGGGTTTAGGGTTTTAGGTTTAGGTTTAGGGTTTAGGTTTAGGTTTAGGGTTTAGGTTTAGGGTTTAGGGTTTAGGTTTAGGTTTAGGTTTAGGTTTAGGTTTAGGTTTAGGTTTAGGTTTAGGTTTAGGGTTTAGGTTTAGGTTTAGGTTTAGGTTTAGGTTTAGGTTTAGGTTTAGGTTTAGGGTTTAGGTTTAGGGTTTAGGTTTAGGTTTAGGTTTAGGTTTAGGTTTAGGTTTAGGTTTAGGTTTAGGTTTAGGTTTAGGTTTAGGTTTAGGGTTTAGGTTTAGGGTTTAGGGTTTAGGTTTAGGGTTAGGTTTAGGTTAGGTTTAGGTTTAGGTTTAGGTTTAGGTAGGGTTAGGTTTTAGGGTTAGGGTTTAGGTTTAGTTTAGGGTTTAGGTTTAGGTTTAGAGGTTTAGGTTTAGGGTTTAGGGTTTAGGTTTAGTTTAGGTTTAGGTTTAGGTTTAGTTTAGG